ACTGTTGTCGATAATTATGGTATGATGCAGGAATACCCGAGTGACGAATAATTAAGGGAAACGTCTTGACCCTGGTATTTTACAGAAGTCTTCGTCTATCATCGTGATAGATCCCCATTGATGTTTGTTTCAATCATCAAAAATCCAAAGCAGCTGATTAAGAAATGATTTTTAATCCTCATGATTTAGACATTAATCTTTTGACCTTCTATCTACTGAATCAGTATTGCTGAAGACTACATAAACATTTCTTGCTCAACCTTACTTTGATATTTGTTGCCGTCAATTTTATTCTGGCTGCACTGTTGGGCTGTTTTTGCTCCTGAAAAACATCACGTTAGTTGTGTCACGTTTGCTACTATCTTACGTAAATGCCGTGGAATTTCCGGAATCAGTCTAACTAACTTCATTTGTGGTCAACGTTTCAATGCATGTGACCGGGTAGTAAAAACAACGTTTCTTCTGATGACATTCATTCAGGGTTGTTCCGAGATGGTTCACAAGTCCTTAATTCAAGCGATCCTTCATCTTTCAACATCTTGTGGAACAACTAATGCACAACAGTCTGACCACGAAGCCGTCGCTAGGCTTTGTTACTGCCCCATTTTAAATGTCACTCCTTTTAATTACGCCTATAGAAATTTCATACATTTTTTGGATTTCATTGTATTCAATGCTTTATAACTCATTTACAGGAGCACATGTTTTCTCGTGAGCTAACGTAACTCAAGGTGCGTAGTTATTCGTATCGCGTGACATTTACAATCAACAGATTGTTTTCTAAACGAGTCTTCACGACTGCAGTATGAGACGTGTTCAACCATGTTCCTTTTGTGCAATTGGTGGGTTTGCCATTATTTCCCTGATACAGTGAATCAAACATTTGCTGATCTATCCGAATTACGTTTTCAAAGATAACCCACCTTTACGGGAAACGCATGAATAAGCAAATCAGAGCGCTTATACGACTGCAGTTTTTACTGATTTCATCCCAGCCACTGAACCGTCCCCTAGAGGGATCAAATCATTTGCGCAAATCAATTCGTTGAAATGCTTTTCGAGTCACGGGCGTTCACGTTACATTGCATTCACTCCGGTATCAAATTCAAGAACCACATACAAAACCTCTTAAGAAAACCACGTTTATGCATAAAAGGTTGTTTTCAACGGAGACGAGTCTTTCTTGGAGCGCTGAAAAAGATATTTTGTTAAAGCGACATCGCTGCAATGGACTTCCAGGAAAATCCTCGAATAAGCCAAAAAATCTTCATGATAATTAAAGATGCGTCATAAATGACCTTACAGTCTCTTAAAATTTACTTCTTTGTGCTGAAAAATAAGGGAAACAGTTAAATAATTGCTCTTCTGTTAAGCTTTGCATGAGGAATGCTGAGTTGAGATCAGGTGGGTGTATGACTTCAAGGAAATCTCTGATATTCGAGGACAATAGAACTCAGCCAGTCTTTTGTCCAATGGTTAGATTTTACACCAAGGAAGAATGGTTTCGACTTCATGTTATCCAAGGTTCTTCTCACGTGAATCACTGCATTTTCACTTAAGAGGTAAAAGACGGTGTTGTACCACGAGGTATTTCTTGTGCCCGAAAGTGCTCTGAGTGGAGTTTATTTGTACCTCCATTTTATCTTGGTTTGTGGCGTTTTTGTTTTTGTTGCTATATTGTTAGACACGTTGAATGTTAGGTTTTACTATTGGGCCTACGAGTGCAGACAGGCTGATATGATAGCAATTTGGGGCGAACGTTGGTCGATGTGTTATTGGAACAATTAAACAGAAGTTGGAACCTGAGTGAAAAATTCGGTGCAGTACAAAAAGTACCGGAATGTTGTCGTGCTAAAGATAAAGATGACCCTAGCGTACTTCCCCAACAACCATTTCGTTCGAACATGGAGTTTGACTTTGGAACTGGAACTAAAAGCTTGCCTTTGCCGGATGGTTTTAATAAATAAACTCGCAGATGGGCGCGAAGAAGATAGACCATGACCGGACATTACTTTTTCGCTGAGAGTCTTTTTTCAGAAAATCTCTAGCAGAATATGTAGAAACAAGGGCCTACTTGCAGTTGCTACTCAATGGCAGCAACTTCGAAACATCAATAAAGAGAACACTCAAAGCCACTTGGGAACGGATTTGCAATGCGGCTCAACTCAATATTTTTCCGTGTACTAAGAATAACTCACCCCAGTGCATGAGACGATATTGCGAAACGTCTCAGCACTGCATGACGTTAGTGCTATTTCGAGAATGCAGTGGCTTTATTTTCGATGGAAAGCAAAATAAATATCTCTTATTTGGGTATCAAATGACACCACGAGGCGGAAGTCGGTCTAATCTCACCGTAGTCCGTGATCATAGTAGTCTTGGAAATTGGCCGCTCATTTAGTATCGACCCAGCCATCTCCAGTGTGGTGTGATGTAGGCGATCATGAGAACAATACATTAAAAGTTCATTAGCTGCTTCCTTCGTACAGTTGCGTTTCATGCTACTAAGCCCAATTCGTGTGAATTTCTGACTTCCGAGCAAAATTTGGCTGGTTTTTGTTTTATAGGTTTGACTGCACTTGTTGCATTATGACATGTCCTCTATCCGTAAGCTCCTTTTCCGCACTGTCTGGTGAAAGCACCAACTTCACCATGATCATTTGCCAGTTCAGTTCCACATATTTTGTTATAAACAGGCTTTAATGTAGCATTCGCTGGGATTTTTTCATACCAGAACAAATCCCTAATAGGCGGTAGACTTGAGGTTAGGAACGGTGGATTGTTGAGGGCCTTCCTCACCACCAAGCTTTTTCCTCATTGCTCCGGATGATGGCATGAGATCACCTCGGTAAGGAGTACAGTGTAGTCCTTATTGGACACTTGTCACGGGACATTCTCTACCTTCTTGCCAATCAGACTTTACGTGCAAGTTGGGTGAATTCACACGCAGATAAAACATCTAGCCATAAGTATTTTGATCAACTAGTGAATGTGAATATGAATAAATTTTGTGTCACGGATGTCGTTGCTCACTTTTTGAACACTGCTGAAATTCTTTCGTAATCGATCCTTGTGTTCCTGTGGATACAGCGACCAATGTGAAACTCAATGAAACTCACTCACTACCAGCCACTTTGAATATACATAAGGAGGGTTCGTTTGCTGACCAACCTAATGCAGATGTAGGCCGTTACATACCGGGTTGATCAGGACCCAGCGGCGCAGCTACCAACCATCTCTCTTTAAACTTCTCCAAACAAAACATCTCGTTTATCACCTGTGCAACCGCTGAGAATTTTTTTATGCCTTATAAAGCTGCAACAAACGGTTTTCAGAACATAAAAATATCATTTCGTGCATTGAAAGTCATGCATGTTTGGAGTTGGATTTATAGAGTGCCCTACATTCAGTGCACACATCCTGTTCATGTCACAACTGCGGGCTTTTGAGCTACTGTAAACCTATTTTCTGCAACTGGATCAAACGATGTGAAGTAAACAGTGTAAACTGTGACAATTCCTGGTGCAAATAATCAAGACTTGGAGGCAAATCGATATCCCGAAAACCCGAAATCTACCGGTTTTAAAGTGTGAAGAACGGCAAAATTTTGAATCATTTTGTTCAACTTCACTTACGTCATGTCCCGACCAACCGGAATGAGAATCCTAAAGAAAACATCCTCTGCGTGAACTACTAGAAAAGATTGCACAACCATTCAAGGTAGCATTTGGATAACGAATGGCGCGCAATACTGAGAGTTTCTCATCAGAATTTGATTGTAAAGTAATTGTGTGAAGCCATGCAAATCCTATAGGGAATAGTTTGACCCAATGTTGGGTTCCAATATCCTAAGGGTAAACCGTTAAAAATCGATAAATAATCTGTCTGGTACCTTTGGACTAAAAATCGATACCCGAGCCTGTCAAATGGTTTGCCTTATTTGACACGGTGCCCGAGAGTCACGTGAATGTTAGGTAACGATTGTCTAGCCACGCTCACAATGGTGTCTGAACAAGGCCAGTGTCGACGAAAAGCTATCTGTACATGTCTATACCGGTGATCAAAATTCGCCATATGTCTTAGGACATCTTATAAAGGTTTAAAAGCAGTTATACTACTCATTAGATTCTAGGTAAACTACCTAAATTAAAACTGTTCATTGTGCACTGTTTCGGCTTTCTCGTGTTTCCCAAAGGCTACCTGTCTGTTTGGTGGCAATGCTGCAATGCAGATAATTTAGTTCTCGTAATTTATGACGAAAGTAAATCACAATCCGACTGTCTACTTATCCGAAGGAATTATTGACTGCACATCCAATCCTGATGCGTTCCCAGCATTTTGAACCGTTTAGAAAATGGGTTACGCTTACAGAGACACTGTAGTCAGTCTAAAAAATGCAATCCATTATGTGTTTTGTCCAGGTTGAGATGTATCAATTAGACGTAGAATAATCGGACTCATATCGCAGCAAGTTCTTGTTATCGGCAAGTAGTCATGACAATTAAGAATGCGTGACATGCGTGACAAGTAAGAATTAAAGCACATTGTATCCTTAGGCACTGCAAATATTTTGTTGAAATTTCGACTACCTGACTGAATTAGTTCGACAGTGTTACTGTAAACCAGCTCTAAACTGTAGACGTTTATTCTGTTTTAAAGAGATCAGAAACAGAGAAATTTGGAAATGCGTTCATTCTCAAAACAAAATAGTGTTAGCAGGAGAATTATTTGAATCTCAATAGCAAGAAGGCCGAAACAGTTTGTGGGCTGTCAAACAGCTTTGCACGGGAATGATAGTAGTGTGTTCCACGTACCAACTGAAACATGATGCAGCTTTCTTGCAGCATGCTTAGTTGAATAGTATCATGAAAGAGGGATTCAGGTTGGTCCCTTGTCAAAATCAACTTAATTTGTGAATAAGACAACTTTCCCATATGCGTGCAATTGATCTTCAATGAGAACATAAGGTCGGCGGAAACTCGGAAACAGAACCTACCTGGTCAGCCTGAGAAAAAAGGAAGTAGTCTGCCATGGACGATCAAAAAGTATTCAACAACTTTATTTGTATTGTGTTTTGACTAAAAAAACGTAATTAATCTTTCCAATTAAGGAGACTCCCTCAAAAATTAGGCCAAGATAAGAGGAGTTTCCTCCATAATGAAAAATTAGCCCTCATGAATGAAACTACTCACAAGGTTGCTGAAAACTCTTCGACAGCCCACGACCGGTTTCACCCTTCTTGGGACCCATCAGGTAGGCGCAGTCCCCGAGTTTCTGTCAACCTTATGATCTACTTGAACCCGAATTGCAGGTTTTGAGAAATACACTCATTTGCAAATCAATCTGGTTTTCACGGGAGATTCAGTTGAATCTCTTGTTTATGATGTCCTCCATCTGAATGTGCTGCACACAGGCCGCCTCATGATACAGTTGGCACGATATTCGAGATATCGCTGGAGGAAATCACAAACGAGAGATTCGATTGAGTCTCCCGTGAAAACCAAATTGATTTGCAAATGAGTGTATTTCTCGAAAACCTAGCCTTCTTGGTTAGGCTTTTCTTTGAATTATCAGTTCAAAGCGATATGAATGTCATCGTTTTTGAAGAGTTCCTCCAAACAATGACAAATCAAATCCGACATTATTTCGACATTTTGACAGAACATGTGATTCGTAGGGATTGTACAGATGATGAAAACACAACAGCTGCAACAAAAAACGATTTTTTACTCTACCATCTGCCTATTCCACCTACGAATGTGCTTTACTACATCAACTTTCGAAAACAAAACCCAGCCGGGATGGGTTTCAAGAAATGCTGTATGTGAAGCCGCTTCGAAACTGCAGGACTCAACACACAGTAAAATCAGGTTTGGATAGAACTTTACTACCTAGTGAAAATTACGTCAACCGGGTTTATAAATGTGGGCAAATTGCACCAAATAGGCGTGAGGAGCTGGGTTCATTTTGCAACTTATACACCGGAGTGGTTCCCATGTGTTAGTATGACAAAAGTGCATGAGAAATTGGCGAAGCCTCTGATATGAAAAAGCAGAAAATGTGGCTTGACGTTACGATGCAAGCATTCCACATTAGGAAAAAAGTTATCGCATAAACGTTTGCGTTTGGATCAAAATATATATATATTTTGTTTGGCTAGTAATCCAACGTGGTGCGGGTACAACGCAGTATTTGCCTTCGTCGTCTCACTTGTACGCTGTTTGCTGCACGTTTTAGATTATTTATTCGAAACGAATAACGTACGCCACAATTTGGAAGGGTAGAATGCATAAATGCTAATTCCTCAGGTGTAGGAGATTCGCCATGTATCTAGATAAAGCGGTCACTATCACGGGTTTATCTGAAAAGTTTGCGCAGAATTAAGCGCCGGTCCACTGTCGGCCCATAGCGACCTCGGATATACACATAAGCTAAAGTAGTCGAATACGTACCCGTACACTGTGGCCGTTTGTTTAGTATGAAAATGCCAGCAATGGAAATACTAAAACATTGTTAACCGACATCTCCCCTATCTTTGATAAGGGTGCCAAACTCCATTACTGTATAGTTGTTACAACATCTTTCAAGTGGGGTCCTTTTGTGTTGAAAAGCAAGCAACTGCTGTGCACATGTTTTGTGCATCTTGGAAACTGTTGTAAACAGTAGGAATTTCACGCATCTTTAGGGAGATTGAGACCACCGCCTTCCGTTCAGCAACCGGTCATCCATCCACGGGTAGCCTGTCAGCGTTTTAGCCGAATATTGTAGAGCTTGTCGACTAGAAAATGTACTGCGTGCGTCTGATTACTTTCAACCGACAGGAAACAGGGGGAAATTTCCTGCCGGCATTCCGATCTAGACTGACTTAGTCATCAAGAAGATATTTCAATTTCAGCCTCCTTGTTCCTCATAAATTACTGTTTAAAATGGGGTGGCTGAAGCATGTAATAATCAACGGTTGTCAGAGTTTGGTAGACCCCCAGAATGATGGTGATATTTTAGGTTAGTTCTGGCTGTTGGCTATAAGTATTGTAGAGTTTTTAATTTTTTAGTGTCAACTTTTTAAGGTGTATTTAATGTGGCACATCCGTGGAGTTTTGACGAAGTACCGAAGGTATTATTTTGCTGAATAACGCATATGAGGTTCGCTAAATCCGGTATCTGACTCTAGGAGGAAGCACGAGGTTTGAAATACTGCCAGGTTGTCCTAGCATAAACAGGGGCAATCGAAACAGCACGGTTGGGTTTGAACCAAATGCCTTCGGATCAGTAAGTTGGTGCCTTGAGCTCAATAACTCTGGCGGCTTTATGGTAGATCTGTCGCGCTTTGGGAGTGGCGGTGACTGCAAAAGGTGACTATTCTGGAGTGTGGTGAATTTGGTAACAAAAAGGGAACTGACTGCTCTCTGTTATAAAAACACATCTTCATAGCTGAGTGCACACTTTTGAAGATGATCAGCATAGCCGTTTAGGCTAGTTGTTATATGGTTTACTGGGATCTGATGCTTATCGTTAGGGCAAAGTGGGTCACACATAACAGGCCTTCATTATTCTTCTTTGAAGGCGAAGTATTGAACTTTGTGTTATCGAAGTAAAAGAAGTAATTCATGGAATAATGGATTACCGAAGGTGAAGAACCGTGATGAGAATTCAACGCACATTGATATGTGGACCCTATTGATTAACTTTGTGGGAAAAAATGTTGCGTTACTTCTTGGAGGGGAGTTTCAATCTGAGTTTGGGAATAGGCTTTGGCATACGAGTCAATAGTGAAGCGCGGAAAATTGTCATATACGACAAGCAGTTGCAAGTGGTTTTAGAAGTCCGTTGTAAGTAGTTGATGTGTGGTGAAGTGACACACTACCTAGCAAGATGAGAACTGTTTTTTTAGGTCTGAGCCGCTTAGTAGCACTGATTCCGTCAACCAGCCACAATATACTTCATTGGGATTTGTGTTCCCTTAGGCATAAGATAGTCGCACCCTGTCGACCAATGATGTGTCAGAAATATTTAGGATCGACTCGCAAAGTATCCATGGCCAAGCTCCGCTATCCGGGCCTTGAGTCGCCTGGCGATGACACTGACTTCTTCTGGAGAACCATTGACAATAATCTTATCCTAGTTATCACGGAATTTGAAATGAACCCCTTTGTAACCTTTGCGGGCTCTGCCAGGGAACTGCTACGATTCCCGATGAGAGGTTTTTAAAACCGGGTGGATGCGGAGATTTCTTCTGTAAGGGAAATCTTGGCCAGTTCGTACACCATACATAACGCTCTTCTTAGGTCTTCTGGTCTACCGCGGAGTATTAGCTCTTCACCAGTGTCATCTGTGGGAAGTTCCATCGACATCCGAGTTTGGGCCAAAATATTCGCCCTTGTACACGGATACAGGGCGAGAGTACGGTAATAAAGCTCATCGTTCAGAAGGCCTGTGTCGGGGTGGTTACTCAGGCACTACAGGCCATAATCAGTAATGTCAAGGGACAAGTCACTAAAGTGTTTCCCCTTTACAATCCCAGCCAGTTCATGGTCCTTGATCGTGCTCGGTCGCAATTCCGCAAAATGGAGCGCAATCACCGTGTCTTCATCAGCCTTCCTCGAACAATGCCAAACGCACAACCGGATACAAGCACTTCGGCAGTATTTTCAGCGTGCCTGCTTATCACTGGTTTACCCAGAAAGGTTGATTTGGTGTTCGAGTAGGACATCAAACCCATCCCGACAAAATTGGACAATTTCTTTTGCTCCTGATATGTGATCAAGGGAGGTTAGAAGTAGATGTGTAGTTGAAAATAGGTAAGTAGTTGTTGAATTTGGTGAGCGAAGAGGAGGGATGATACATGTTGGATTGGGGTAACGCCAAATGGTCGAATGGTACGTCGATGCCAGAAATGCCGTTCAAAAGTGCAGCTGAATCTTTTATGTCTATGTAATAATTCATTGAGGATTTGTATTTGAGAGAACTAGATCCGATGGAAGAAGTTCTTTTTATGTGGACGAATGAAGCAGTGCCTGAAGGAACGGTTACGAATTGTACACGTGTGGTTGTCGTACCTGACGGGACCGCAAAAGGCAACGAATGCAAGCATATAAACAATAAGGTGAAGTAATTTAGGGTTAAATCCTGGCTGGCGTAATTCAGGGAAGGTAATCATTTGCATGATTTTACATTCTGCATCCTGTCGACAGAGTGCGCCGTGACAAAAGTTGGTAAACGTTTTGAGCCCTCGGAAGGCACTGGTGAATTTGAGGCGGTGTAAGTCCAAGATACTTTTGAGCGGTTGAGAAGAGTCAGAGAGTTGAGATCAAGATTCTAGGAATCCGCCACCACAACCATGACTACGTACAGGGGGTGCAATTTACGGTTAGGGTTGGAGGAATGTGGGTATTCGTACTCAAGACTACGTCTCGATTCAGTAGTTGTTAGGTGCCAAAAAGAAGGGTACATTATTAGGTCACCTAAAATATGGGAATTATCCACTACTTCAGGAAGAGTTGACGTTCATATAGTCATCATCCGCGTACTTCACAATAAAGCTTCATTCCATGCTGACGAATAGAAACATGCCCAATATAACCCATAGTTTTTCCTGAAAAGACCACAGAGTTTCTGGCCTCTGGCCTTTGTTTCAGCTTCACCAGAATTATTGCAAACGTTTCGCCGGTATTTCTTAGCACGGGGTAAAGTATTCATAGTGTTTGGTTAGTCAGACGTCAGCCTATTTGGAATAACATCTGTCATTCAAGAAGCACTGTGGAATTGGTGGGCTTCTCAAAGGCTCACTGTGATCACAATGACCTGTTGAAGATGTAGGGCGTGATCCACTGGGTTGAACTTTCTGGACGTCTCTGGAACGTCAGATTGCAATGGGAATATTGGTTGTTGATCACGTGGCTGTTGATCTATTTGCATACTTGATAAGCCTATTTGGAATAACATCTGTCATTCAAGAAGCACTGTGGAATTGGTGGGCTTCTCAAAGGCTCACTGTGATCACAATGACCTGTTGAAGATGTAGGGCGTGATCCACTGGGTTGAACTTTCTGGACGTCTCTGGAACGTCAGATTGCAATGGGAATATTGGTTGTTGATCACGTGGCTGTTGATCTATTTGCCATACTTGATAATTTAATTGAGAACTCCTCGTCAACATATGAGGAGACATTATCAGTGCGCAGTTAGGTGAATGCAATAGGACTGTTGTTGGGAAACACATGGTTCTCCAACATCATTCTGTCTGTGATATTAAGAGACAGTTGCACAGCGGATGTAATAATACCTGATAGATTTTTCAGTTTGTTTGTAAAGGAGTACCCCCAAACATTCCGGGTAGACAGGATACTTTGGGTACATCTAGAATTCGTTAAAGTACAGGCTATCAAATCCGTCTTTTGCCTGTCAGACAATAAGACGTTCATCCCTAGTGCGTTTCTACGCTGATACGGTTCCTCCGGGATCAGCTTGTCAAGAAATGTGGGCACGAGTAACGTGTCTGAGTTTTTTTGTAGTGCACATTTACTGACCCAACTTACACTGCTAGGAATTTATAATATCAGATTCCAAACAAAAGCAAGGGATAGTATGCTTGGCCGCGGGAAACTCGTGCAAATCAATAGTCGTAGCTATAGAAATGATGAAATTGTATTTTTAGGTAACAGTAGTCAAGAACAGTCTGATACAGTAGGAGTTTCTTGTCTCTTGAGAGCAATTACCTCTCACGCAGGGAAACAATGTAAGGATTTCTGGTTAACATTTATATTGATCACGGTAATAAAACTGTCTAGCATTAGTTTTTGAGGACTGCCACGGAGGAAACTAAAAAAGTATCAAATTGATCGTCACATTGGTCCCTTAAATATGTGCTTACTTAAGGGGCAACAGCATGTTTACCTACCAAATTTCAGTAGGACATTATCAGCATTCGCCTCCCATCCTAAAAGCTCGGGCAGAACTGAGACTCGGTTGAGAGTTATTGGACAGATTACTGTTTGTAATTACCTATAAATATCCAGAAATTGCCGCGAATTAATCACCATGACTCGAGGATCGTAATAACTTGGGTGCTAAAATTTTGCTACCTTTGTGTCAGTTCTTCCACCTTGGGCCTGACTGGATGCAAAACATCATCGGCGGATAATACCTTAAATTTATCGTGTTGTGAAAATTGATAGGAAAATTTAAGGTGTTTGATCTTCTCCAAAGATGAAAGTTTACTTAGGAAGCTGAGTCAATGCATCTCACTGATTGTCATGACCCCAAAAAGGTGTGATTTTTGTCCTATCTCAAAAACCTACCGAGTGGATACGCAGTTTATTGGCTCGAGATCGGATGTGTGAGGGACTCGCCTTTGCCTAGAAACATCACAAACGAGAGATTCTGCTGGGTTTTAGGTGGGTCTCTCGCAAAACCAAATCAGTTTGCAAATGAGTGTATTTCGCCAAATCCGTGCAATTCGGTTTTAAGTAAAATACAATTTTGACGGAAACTCGGGGGCTGCGCCTACCTGATGAGTCTAAAGAAGAGCGAAACCGGCCGTGGACTGTTGACGACTTTTCAGCAACCTATTGAGTAGTGCATTATGAAGGATTCACCTTTATTTTATTTCACACTCTACTACCAATATTAGAGGGACATCCAAAGTCACAACACTCCACCGTTCTATCGTTTTCTTCCGGAAATACCTTTATCCTTTTATCGAGCTAAGTACGTCAGCATTGCTGATGCCATATCCTAATGATCACTATGCGTCGACTTCCATACATCCATGAAGTCAGTTTCCGAGTAAATTCATTTTAAGCCCCGATGTGTGCAGTTTTTATTCACATCGCTCCCATGTCTCACTCTCATCTTCTATTCTGACTTGCTTCTATCAGTTAGAACACACAAAATCTGGGAAAATTGGGATTGATATGTGTTTTATTTAGGTTTGCAGCACTCCTGTAGACGTCAAACATACATGGCACCACAGAAACTGGAGGTCCTGACCGGTGTGCAACCCGATCAATGCAGTCAGAAAAGTTAACGGATTCCTGTTTGTGCGTAAGGCAAATTAATTACATCTCTATAGCCTAAACATATTCGTTTGTTTGGATGCAATACTTCCGATGTGCTGACGGAGAAGCGGTAATATACTCGCCTAGCACCTTAAATAGATCGAAATCGGACATCAGCATCAACCGACCATGAAATTAATGTCTGTCTGCATATTAGACAAATTCGATGGCCCATCTTTGCCACCGGAACCGTTAGCCATGGTCCGAGAATTTTCTCAGAATTTGTAATTAGCATCACACATTCATACTACTCGCATAAACTGATAGATAACATCATCCTTGATGTACTCGGACGATAAAAATGTGTACAAAGGTGTATCAAATACTCAAAGTCTCATTAAGAATCATGCAGATTTTTCTAGGCTTTCCAACTGATCATAATATCCAAAAGTAGTAAAAAACGGCGTCTTGCTCTGCGGTCGTTACACAGTCAGGTAAATGTAACGTCACGTGGTCAGAACTGTTTATAGTGATATTCTATACAATTGTCCGAAAATGGGTCTGCATAAAATACAAAGTGTTGTTGATATCTGATGCGAAATCCTTTTCATCCTCTTCGTAATCTGAAAACTTGAGTCACTGGCTTGAACAACGATTATATAGATGAAGGTTCTTAATAAAAGTTTAGTGCATCAAACTGTTTTGTTCGTTCGGAGCCGTCTGGATTGTAGACGCCCTAAAGTCCTTTAAGCTTAACCATCGTGATTCAGTGATGTTTCGTTAAAATAATCCTTTTTTGAAACAACGATTTGATTTTTTTTCTCCAAGTTCGATAGTCAACATATGTTGCAGCGGAACTGCTTCAAACAACTTGCGGTAATCATTTGATCTAAATTTAAGTACCGTTACTTATTGTTCATTCGGTTAACAAATCAGAACAATTGCGACTACGAAAATAAAGTATGAGATAATTTGAACAACACTGAAACATAGTGGAAATCTTGGGGATCAGCTTTTATTGGGGATACTCTTGCACCCGATCCGAAACGACTTGAATGCTCTAACCGGTGATGATATATCTGCCAACAAACGTTCGGTAAGCCCATGAAGGTTGATGAGTAAATTTTGCCCATACTCGACTCACTTGGCTTGCTGGATCACAGTCCAGCGAATTGCTTTTTCTTATTTTACTTTGAAGGAATACCGTGTCAAATCACCGTTCGCCGATTTTGATAAATTGGGTGGATCTCGCGATTATCAGGGGCTCAAATCTCTCAAGATAAGGTATATGGTAAAAACAGTCAGATTTGAATCCGTATAGCAGTCTGCGTCAGGGCTGATAAATAATACCCAGTTGAAATATTTCTCTTGTGCAGTAAGTTTTGGATGATTAAACGTAGTACAAAATCTTTACTGGACATTTCCCTCGATGTTTTTGACTGAAAACTGATATATTTGTGTGATATTAATGTTTCCTGTTACAACTGCGACATGTCTGTGTATCAGGGTAATCCCTATTTATGTTACCTACTTACTCTGTCACACAGAAACTACGGGCTGCGACGAATTCATCGCTCTGGATGTAACACGTCCTTCAGTACTACAGAGCTTTGTTTGTAGACAAAATATGGGCCCCGGATATCTTGAGCGGCAGGAGAAAATTACACATCCAAAAAAGTACACATACATTAATTTCTAGTAATCCAAACTGCAAGCATTCAAGCACGTGACCTTTTCTTTGATATTAATGAGTTGTCGTTTATATAAACTATACCTCAAGCCCATTTAGGTGGTGTTCACGATCGCATCACTTATTCATTTGATTCTTTGGGCGAAGAAATATGCATACCAATGTAAATTAGGTGTCATAAGTTGGTTTGGTCATATTAGACTCTCGTTGGTTTTAAATAGCAAACTGTTGTTGACCTGTTATCCAGTGTGAGGGAGAAAGCTTTGAAACAGTGGCCCTGGCTCGATCGGGTTTTCTGTGTGAGGGCAATCGATAACCATGTCATGTCTCGTTTGCCGAAACGTGTTCCGGCCGCGAGTTGGTCCGAGTGTCACATGGAAGAAAAGCAGAACAGTCATAACAACTGGTGTTAGTTTCATTGCATCATGAGATGTGCACGATACCGGGAAGGCCAGACACATTACTGACGTGATATCAGGCGAATCGTAGAATACGCCCTGTTTTCCCATGTCTTCCACTTCGTGGGAACAGTGTATTGATCAGGTTTGGGGAAAAATTTCTGCGTTGTCATGCCTGCTATTTGTTTGCTTAACAAACAAGTAGTAGTAGGAACAGTCAAGCAACATTTAGAGAGCAACTTCATTAGCTCAGTGTTCACACTCAAAATTTTGTTCGCCTCAGTGAGAAGCGTTTACCATGCCTGGTGGCATGCAGTTTGAAGGCACGAAATTGGAATGAGTCCTTGCTATCATTTTAGTTGGTACTCTCAGATTTTCAATGGACATAACTTGGTTTTAAAAGACAGTCGTTTATCGGTCAAATTGTCTCAGCCTGTACCGTGTGATACAGTAGTTACACCGTGCAATTTCTGGTCTGAACCCACAAAGTATCTACCAAGGGGATAATGTTAGTGTGCGTAGCTCACGGTGAATTCTCATGGTCAACCGCTCTGTTATCTCCACTAACTTATTCAGATAGTCCATACTATGGTGGAATATATCTTTGCCATCATAATGCAAAATCAACATATGGAAGGAGTTGAGATACATGTGAGTCTGCTATCACCATTTCCGCTCAGCGGGGATTGATATGTCCAAACGATAGAGATCTGTCATGTCACTCTGCAATCAGACTGCCAAACTTGATTCAAGTGAATTGCCATTTGTTTTTTTCCCAGGCGGGGATAAAAATTGACAATCCTGGGTAACATAGGTTTTCACAACAGTAAATCGTTAGGAATGGAGGTGCAACTGGTGTTTTGTTTGGTTCAGTAAGCCGTTTCGCCTTTAGATGCTTGATCGCCGAGTATTGTGGATAGTATCCGTTTGAAGCGCAGTGTTCTAGTTGTCCGTCACGAAGAGACTGGACCTTACCGTGGTGTGACGGTTTGCGCACCTCAGCGATCCATTGAGCTATACTGGAGAGTGTCCCGCGACACTCACAGAGTCTCTCATACCAGGTTGGTCAATGGTTAGAGGTATGACGAACACAGTCTCCTGGCCCTCCAAGTTGGGGGTTGGAACATGTGGCGACTTGTTCCGTAGAAATGATAATGCATTTGCATTTCCCGCCAAACACCGCTGCCTTGCAGTTAGGCTTTTGAGCCAAAGGCTTTGACTGAGGACCCTAATCGTCCTCCTGTCTAGGTGTAGGCGCCCTGGCAGTATCCCAGCCCTCGTACAACCATGACCTACACAACTAACAATATTCTCATGCCACATCGGCAGTCGCGTGGTGCCATCAGCCGGGTCGCCTTACTTGCTGCATACAGAAAGCCGGTAATGCCCGGAGATTATTTCAGTTGATCCGTGCGACCGGTCCCCGGAAACCACCTGTGAGTGAAAGCATCAAACATCAGAATGGAACGACCATCTCTAATAAGGAGGAACGCCTTGA